GAGAGGGCTGAAAGCCCTATGAAGCGATATATAAGTCTAACTGCTATTGCTATTGCTATTGCTATTGCTACACTTTCTACAGTATGTAAAGGAGGAGGATTCTTTGTGTTGTGTTTGTTTTGAAAATAAAAAATAAAAAAATAATAAAAAATAATAAATAATAATTATAAAAAAGAAAGAAAAGGCTCTTTTGAAGATATCTTTCTCCCCACATCAAAAATGTGGTTATCTGACATGCAAGTTTGTTGTTGGTTAGTACAAAATGTTCTTTCTTCCGCATTGTGTGTCCTCCCTATTCTCTTTCATTTCCTCTAGGAAATCTATCAAAGATTCCTCTCTTTTATTAGTTTCTTAATTGTTCGATACCGTGATGTCTCCTTGCTCATTTCAGTCTGTGTTTCTCACTTTTTACGATTTGTTTTTTTCTTCTTCAATTTTGTTAGCTGCCTTGATTGCTCACTGAAGTCTAGAAAGGCTGGGTATAAATCAAGCACACCCAGACACAAGTATATATAAAAATGCCTGTTTTGTAACCCATGCAAGAAATGTGGTGCTGCTAAAGATGTTCAGGACAAACTATTGATCGCGAAGCGAAAGATTGCAAACTGGATTCTTTTTCGGCGCCCTTTGAAGTCCATTAAATAAAATGGAAACAGTGCACAAAAGAGAGAGAGAGAGAGAATCAGCAAGGATCCATTTGAATGTCCACATCAAAATTAGATGGCATCTAACACCCAAAATTCACTCTCCCTTTGACACATAAATCAGACATGAATGTTGGAAAAACAAAACAAAAGAAAACAAAACACCTTCTGTTTATCTGTCCTGATTTTTCCAGGACTCAATTATATAAGGTGGCTTTCATTATTTTGAAAAGTGGAAACTTTTCTATTCGGATACTAAACTTAGTAGCGGGAACAATAAATGTACAATAGGTCAAGACATAATTTGTCGGAAATGGTGTAGGGTCTCCTGCTTGGGCAGGGGTTGGACTAGATGACCTACAAGGTCCCTTCCAACTGCTAATCTAATCTCATCTAATCGTTGTAGTTGATTAGTTCGACAGTGCTGACTCATCCATGAGGCAATCTATGCTATGATTGGTTCATAAGGATGAAGGGGTGTTTCCATTTTTTCCCACCTTTTTTTCTTGGGTGTGTCCTGTGTACTGTTTAATTTACCTCGTGATGTTTCCGTGTTCCTGACTATCATTATGATTTCTCTTTCTGGATGATGACAAAGACTGCTATAAATTTGAATGTTAAAATATATTTATACACATAAAAGACTACAAGATTGTGTTAGCGTGTTTGATTTCATCTGGACAGCTGTTGCGCCATTCCCCGACAATGTCCTTTTCTCCACTTGGTCAACGGTTAATTTTGTAAGCCTCCATCTTGTCTCATTCGCTTCCTTTCTCGACTGAAACTCCAGCTTTATGTTGAATTCTCCCGCCAATATGCTGAACTTTCACACCGTCTGAAAATTTTACAAGGTTTCTGGTGTTATTTGTTCACTGGTAGTACACAGATANTTTTTTGTTTTTTCTTCTTACGATTATAATATTATTATTGCTAATATCCAGTATATAAGTGAATGTACAAAATTGAAAATGAAAATGAATAAAACATTTAATTAGAAAAAAAAAAAAAACAGACCATTAAGACACGAAATCTATACCGTGTTTCCCCGAAAATAAGACAGGGACTTATTTTCTTTTGACTCCCAAAATAAGCGCTTGGCCTTATTTTTGAGGAGGTCTTATTATTTTTGAAGTGCAGGAGGCAGAGAGTGTGGTCACCTCATGGCTGCTACTGTGTTGCAATATTTTCAGCGGAGGGCTTATTTTCAGGGAAACAGGGTAGCTTACTTTTCAGCACATTGTGTTTGGAAATATATATTAAATATATAAAATATTTCTTTTATCTAATTGTTGTCTTAGTGGCTTCTTCCTGCTCCTCGGGGTCAGTCCTACAGTTATATTGTTGGTTTGAGCTCTGAGCTGGGCTATTTGGTTGCAAACATTTCATCCCCATTTGAGGAGACATTTTCAGTGTGCTTTGGATTGTGCTTGTCTCGGGGAGCATTGGCCTTTAAATACCTTCTCTGCAAAGGTCTCCCAGGGATGAGGGGCGTTGAGTGTTGGATAACTGAAGTTGGTTGAAATGTCTTTGAATATTAATAGATCAGCTTGGTAGTTATGTTGTTGGCTGAATCTCTAGGGTGTGTTAAATTTTTCAGCTTTCAATTTCCAAACATTAGGGGTGTTCAAAAGTTGTAACATGCCTTGGGGATTGTAAATATATTTTGATTACTTTAATATAATTTAGATGTGCAACATAAATATCACAACTTTTTAACATTTTGTTTGTTTGTTAGCCACAAGCAGACCAATTCCAATTACCCTTGAATTCTGTTGACCCTGAACTAATTCCAAGCAGGTGCTGACCATTCCTTGAGAGTTTTGCTGTACAGAGGCATGAGTAGCAATAAATCAGTTTAATTAGACTTTCACAGGTGGACCTGACCTTCCTCCCCTGATCATGAGAGTGCAAACAGAGCCCTGGCTGTTTATTGTGTATAGTGCACATGGAAAAAAAAAAAACAGACGGAGTTTTGATTGTCACCCTGAGAGTCACCATCTTGCCTTTTGTGATCATAGTTTGCAAGCTCTCCTGTTCCTATTGGTCAACTGAGCTCAGAGCCTAAAGGTTGACTAATGAGTTTAATGCACTGCCAAAGTAGCCTTGACAAGCTGGCCTAAAGATGTGATAGGCACAGAGGTCATTGTTCAATCTTCATTTTCATCCCTGCATGAACCCTGCTGTGCTGAGGTCATTTAGTGAAAAGGAAAATATAAAAACAGCCAAAACAAGGTCTCTTCCCTACCACCTGAACCTTCCTCTTAACTCGGCTGGCCACAGGTTTCTCCATTCTTAGCCTCTTACCTCCCAGAAAATCATCTTCTCTAAAATGCCCACAAGGGTAAAGCATGCATGAGCCTCATTCAACACATTGATTGCGTCCCTCTTTAAAAACTGAGCCATTTTAACATACAGTGCAGAGTCTGTGGGAAACGGCAACTTTGGCAGTGAGAAGTCACCTAGGAGAAGTCAAATTGGCAGCCACTTTCACGCCCACTTGCCATTCCCCATCAGATTCATCGTTTCAGAGTCCCAAAATACAAGCTAGGGCTGCCTTTTCAATGTTCAGTCCCTGCAAGCCATTTTTTTCACAGATGGATATGGGTACAGGCACTCCTCAACACACAACCATTCTTTTAGTGACTATTCAAAGTTACGATGGCAGTGAAAGAAATGACTTTTGACCGTTTTTCCACAGTTATGACCATTGCAGCATCCCCATGGACACGTGATCAAAATTCAGATACTTGGCTCATATTTTTGACGGTTGGAGTGTTCCAGGATCCTGTGATCCTCTTTTGCAACCTAAAAAGCAAAGGCGATGGGGGAGACAGATTCATTGAACAAACGTGTTATTACCCTAACAACTGCAGTGGTTACCACTTAACTGTGGTAAACAAGAATGTAAAAGGGGACAAAATTCACAGAATGCCCACCTTGCATAGCAGCAGAAATTTTGGGCTCAATTGTGATCATAAGTTGAGGACCACCTGTACTGATTTTTGATATTTTAGCCACAGGAAGGTTCATAGTTGACCCACACACAGGTATTACCATTGTTCACTTTTCTTCTTCAGGTCCTCCACCACCACATAGCTACTGTGGAGAAACTACCACTGAATGCGTCTGGCTGCCAGCTGCAAATTCGTTGCAAGAATTTCCGTGTAGCTTGCTTTCTGATGGTGCAAGAACGAGATTGCCACGAAGTCTATACCTCTTTGCTGAAGCTCTCACAACCAGGTGCGTGTAGTACACACACTGTTTGCTTCCCTTCCCAGGGCTGCTGGGGATAGCAGCCTGTTCTCCCTGACTTTTAAGTGCCTCTTTCCCTGGGAAGGAAAACTTTTTCCAGGCCCTGCTGAAAGAGGAGTAGTTCAGTTGCTTTGGGGTTTTGTCCCAAAGATGTTAGCAGGATTCAAGCATTCTTTGTGTTGGTTGCTGGGACATTGAACTGCTAAGGACTAGGCACAAGAGTACACGGAAGAGAAAAAGGCCTCTTTTATTAATATTTTATTTTATTATTAAAAGTTATGGTTCAGCCTTCCATCCTTCTGAGGTGGGTAAAATGAGGACCCGGATTGTTGTTGGGGGCAATATGCTGACTCTGTAAACAGCTTAGAGAGGGCTGAAAGCCCTATGAAGCGGTATATAAGTCTAATTGCTATTGCTATTAAGGTGTTGGCCTAGAAACCAGAAGAGTGTGAGTTCCAGTCCAGTCTTAGGCACAAAAGCCGGTTCAGTGATTTTTAGACCAATCACCAGGAGACGTTGAGTTCGAGTCCCGCCATAGATAGAAAAGCCAACTGGGTGACCTTGGACCAGTCACTCTGTCTCTCAGCCCCACCCATCTCATAGGGTGGTTGTTGTGGGGAAAACAAGCAGAGGAAAGAGTATTAGATGTGTTTGCTGCCGTTAATTAATTATAAAGTAATAAAGATGAGATAAAAATATAATAAATAAATATCACGATGAGAAGCTGTGCAGGAAGTCTTCAATAAGATGCTACTTCTCTGCACCTGGGATAAAAGATCGGCATTGGGCATGGGTAGAGAGTTTATAATCTGCAAAGTGAGCCAAGTTATTTCAGCCTCAATGGCTGTTCCATGGGTTGGATTTAATGCTGTCATAATCTTTTCCATGAATAACAGTCCAGTCAATGTTGGGTTTAAGCTGCCCATTAGATTTTAAATCAAGTGTTATAGTTGCTCTCTGGCGTCTTGCTTATATGCCCTGAGAACCATCTCTGCCCATCCTTGGAGGTTCCCATATAGCAGAGGTGTCAAACTCAACATGACATAATAGCGTCATGTAATGTAACGGGACTTTTTTCCCCTTCACTAAACCAGACGTGGGTGTGGCCAGTGTGTAATGCATCTGGCCCGTGGGCCAGGAGTTTGACAGCTCTGCTATATAGTATTTTAATTCCTTGAAAACTGCATTTCCAAAACTCTTAACGCTGCTCAATGGGAGAAAAAGGAAGCCCATTGATTCAAGAAAGAAAACCAATAAATCATGCTCTTGATAATGCTCTTCATTTTGTGTCACTGTCCCCTGTGACTAAAAATGTTCCCTGTGGCCCTTAGCTACCAAAAGCTGCCCCTCTATACCTCATGCATGCTATTTGGGGAGAAGAAATCACAAACTTCTTGCCTGTCTTAGCAAAGTGTAATGTTTTCTTTTGTCTAGCTTGCCTTCCCTCAGTGCTCTTCTGATTCAGCGTCTCCAAAAAAACTCCACTATATATTTCCCACATTATTTGCTAGCAGTTGATTGACAGCTGAGGATTACCTGCTGGGTTCATGGTCCCCTTCATCCACTTCTTTCTCCCTTAAGAACTTGCTGCTGGGAGAATTGGCAAGGATGAATTATTGATTGCAGTTTTCAGAAGGGACCAGAGAACTGGCCCATCAGAATCCCAAACCCATCATAATGTTTTATTGCAATCCCAGAAGCTATAAAGCTTTGTGTGCTTCCCATGTCTTGTTCAGTTTTCCAGTCTATCAACCCAAAAAGTTCTTTTTTTAAGTATCTGTTCAGAAAAGATTGAAAGAGTGTCTCAAAGTCCAATCTAATTGCAATGTAGGTTGTATTAACAGAGGGAGAGAATCAAGATCTGCATCCAGTCTTGGTCACCATGTTATAGAAAAAATCTAGAGACTCTGGAAAGAGTGCAGAAAAGAGCAACAAAGATGATTAGGGGCTGGAGTCTCAAACTAATGAAAAACAGTTGCAGGAATTGGATATGTTTAGTTTAGTGAAATGAAGGACTGAGGTGACAGGACAGCAGTTGAGGAGCTGCCATAAAGAAAAGGGGGTCAGCCAATTTTCCAAAGCACCAGGAGGCAACATAAGAAACTAATCAAAGAATAAGTAATAGAGTAATCAAAGTAACCCAGAAGTAAGGAGATACTAGAACGGCTTGCCTTCAGAAATTTTGGGTGCTCCACCATTGGAAGATTTTAAGAAGAGACTGGACAGCCACCTGCCTGGAATGGGCAGGGGTTGGACTAGAAGACCTTCAAGGTCCCTTCCATCTCTGTTATTCTGTTAGTGGTAAGCAACCCTATCTTCAAATAAGTAAGCATACTGGTAGAAATTTTTATTGGAAAAAAAAACTAAGAACAAAATGGCTGCTTGTAGTCATATTTGCAATAGCTGAAAGGATTCTAGGGGCTTAGTAACTTCTAGGTTTATTTTAAAATCTGCAGTAAATGTAAGATGCAAATCCAATGAAGTGGAATAGAAATTAAAAGAACTTATTTATAATATCATTGTATGCAGGGGCAATTGTTAAGATTTGATCACAAGTGCCCAAATGATTGATTTTTGCCTTTGAAAATTGCTTTTGCACTTTAGTAAAACCTGAAGAACTTTACGCCTTCTCTTACAACCCCAAAACGCCTGAAGGCAGTCGAGAAACAGGCTGGAAGTCAATAGACGTCAAAGCAGATTACCTGCGGATGGGCATTGACAACAGCTCTTGGGAAATTAGCAATGTCAACAAGGATTACGAGGTGAGCTTGCATCTGTTTTGGGTTTGCTATCTAGGCCAGGAGATTCTACAGGTAGTCCTTGATTTAAGGACCACAGTTGAGAACAGAACTTCTGTTGCTGAGAAATGCAATCATTAAGTGAACCACAGCCAATTTTACAATTTTTTTACAGTGAATTGTGCTGTCGTTAAATGTCCATCTGCCTTTCCCCCTTGACTTTTTTTGTCAGAAGCCCACTGGGAAAGTTGCAAATGGCATTCAGGTGACCCTGGGATGCTTCAACCGTTCCGGTTGCCAAGCACACAAATTGCCATCAAGGGACTGTGGGGACGCTACGATGGCTGTAAGTGCAATGGTATTGAGACACTTTTTCAACACCTTTGTAACTCTGAATGGTTGTTAAACAAATAGTCATAAGTCAAGGACTATCTATAATGCACCTCTGCTAAAACTGTGAATCTGTAAGAAATGGTTTTGTAAGACCATCAGTAAATAACCATCTGTTTCTTCATCCTAGGTTTGCAGCACCTATTCTTGGGAACTAGTCCTGCCTAAAGTGGCTACTAAAGCAATGATCTTGGGAAGTGCGAAGTTTCGAAGCCGAGGTCGGATACCTGTGCTTTCCTACTTCTACAAAGAGAATAATGTTAGTCATGCTGTGTTTTGTTTTCTGTGGGTTGCTCATTTTTTCCCAGCTTACAACCAGTGAAAGTCACATTGTTTAACAGGACAGGACAAGATAATTTTTATTGTCACTTTTTCTGTGAACACACTGGCACACATTAAAAAATGAAATTCTGAGGCCTGCTCTCAAAAGTATACATGTATACACACACATATTACACCCATACAAATACAATACATGCACATCAGGGGTGGGTTCCTGCCAGTTCCAACCTCTTCTATAGAAGAGGTTCCACAAATCTACAGTGCTGTTTAGAACTGATTCCAGCTCCCTTCCCCTGCCCGTCTGCACATATCAAGATGAAGAGCGAGAATTCTGGGAGTTGAAGTCCACAAGTCTTAAAGCTGTCAAGTTTGAACACCCCTGGGATTTTTTGTCTAAAGGGTTAGGGGTGCAAGGGTCTTGTAACTTGACAGCTTTAAGACTTGCACACTTCAATGCCAGAGTTCTTGAGCCAACATGACTGGAGGAGGAATTCTGGGAGTTGAAGTCCACAAGTCTTAAAGCTGTCAAGTTTGAACACCCCTGGGTTTTTTTTCTAAGGGTTAGGGATGCAAGGGTCTTGTAACTTCACCACATTTTACAAGTTGCCCACGCCCACCCAGTCACATGGCTGGCAAGTCACTCTCACCCGGTGACATGGTTGGCAAGTCACTCCCACAAAGCAGGCCATACCTACAGAAGAGGTTCTAAAAAATTTTGAAACCCACCACTGATGCACATACATATACAAATGCTGTATACACACACACATACACATGTACATATTAATCACAGACCATTTAGAATACATAGCAGAAAAAGAGTCTTGGGAGTTAACAAGGTTGATATTGTATGGTATTAATGTATTACAGAATCTAGTTGTTCTGCTTCCAATTCCAGGTCCTGGATAGAAGGAAGTCAACTTCCAATGATCTTTTCTGCACAGCCTTCCTGTCCCAAACAGTAATATCTCCAAACCACATGCAACACAATACCAGATGATGCTTTCAATCATCCCTCTATAGAAAGTGGCACCTTTTGAAAACTGTACTAAAAGTTCATCTTTCCGCCCTCACCTTTACAGTCTTAGAAACTAGGGAGGGTCCCTTCTGAATCATTTATCATGCCCACAATCCTTCTGCAAGCCAAGCTGCCACTTATGTGACTGTTGCCTAGTCTGCAGCTCTTCTTCCTATCTCACAGGACCATTCTGACATGTCATTAAGGGGTAGAGATAATTATGGCTTTGAACAGTCTCCTAGATAGAAATGATCGGGGTTGGTGGTGAGTTGGAGCTAATATCAGAAGGATCGCTTTTACACAGTTCTTGCTAGCCGGAATGCTTCTCTTTGTAGGGGAAGGGTTGTATTTTTATAATAAAATTTTAATATGTCTTTAAATGACAACATTTTGCAATATTTGAGGAATTTTTCCCCAGATATGACTTTACTGAAGTTTTGTGGGTGGTTATTGTGCCTAATGGTTGCATACTACCCATTTTTGCAATTTTGTGGAGACTGAAAATAAAATTTTAAAAAAGTCTTAAAGAGGAAATTGATATCAAAATTGGGAAGGAAGGTTGGAAACAAAATAAACTGAATTGGTGCAATATCTGTTATGCAATGACAACAGATGAATTGAATTGAAATGAAAATCACAGGAAAGTGACTGCAAAATTATTACTTGTCGTATCTAATAGATCTCTGCCCTGTATTGCTATGGCTTTGAGTTAGAAGAGATGCTTGAAATGTCCAGGAGTTTAAATGCAGTGTCTATGACTCAGATCCAGTTTCTTGTAGTGGTAAAAGCATTAGGCTAGTAACGGGAGGCCATAAGTTTTAGTTCTGCCTTAGGCACAAAGCCATTTTCTGTGGCCACCTCAGCTTTTTGTCAGCTCCCTGCTGTTTAATCTGGAGACCATTGCGGTTGTTTTAGGGGATTTCCGGCTTCCCTTTCCACGTCTGCTTGTGCCTTCTCTGTTATGGTCCTCAGGACCCCCCCCCCCCCCAAGACAGCAAGGATTTCGGCGGTTCTTTGGACCATCCAGAGAACACATTGTGCTGCTGGCTCCACTGGCCATACCTCCTCCTGTAGACTGCAGGGGATTATTCCGTGCAATTGCAGGAGTCAGAAACTGATTCAAACATACACCCCACACACAGGTGGGAGGGGGGCTCATTGAAGCAGCTGTATCACTTTCTCCATTATAAAAGCAGCTGCTCAAGGTAAAACAGACAGGTTCCAAAGTGTCAGCCTCTATCAGCCTCTATCTTGCATGCTTGCTATCAGCTGCCATAGTAAAGGGGAGGGTCGAGGCTCATGGTATTTGGGAGGGGAAACGTGCTGGTGGTGATATCTCGAAGAAGGGAGTTTTGTTCTCACCATCTTCTGTGCATGCTGATGGCTCGCCTTTGGGTTTGGTCAAAGCTAACTGTCTCTGCATACCAACTGAATGAGGCCATCTGAAAATGTGGTCCACATGACACCCTTGGGGGTTGGAGATTGGACATTGGGTCAGGGTAACTGGGGGGGAGGGATATGGGTAAATGTTTGATATGTACAAGTTCACGCTTTTTTCCTTCAGATCTTGCTTCACTTTCACTGTTTTTGTGTCCATAAAAGTACCATTTCTCTAATTAAATGGAGTTGGGAGTTTTCTTTCTTGAATACTGAATGAGGCAAGCCTAAGGTGACCAGATTTTCAGATTGGTAAAGAGGGACACCTTTGACTGGGGGCGGGGGAAGGGGGCTTGATTAAAAATTTTATATGGAGCAACAAAAATTTTCATACAACGCAAAAATAGTATTGTAATTTTTTTTTAATTTCAACATAACTACAATTTACAAATATAAATTGTAACTATTGGCAAATATCAAAATTTTGATCATGTGACCATGAGAATGCTGCAACAGTCACTAAATGGGAAAATGATAGCTAAGTGTGAAAAA